AGCCCCCCAGTTAAACCCCCCAAACCAAAATGCCAACCTACCTCATAACCGGCGCATCCAGCGGCCTCGGCGCAGCCCTGGCCGACGCCGCCCTCCGCGCAGGACACACCGTGCTCGCCACCGCGCGCAATCCCGCGCAAGCCACCCTCACCACCCACCCCAACCTCACCTGGCTGGCCCTGGACATCACCGCCCCATCCACCACGTCCACCCTGCAGACCGCCCTCGCCGCACACCCGCCCGTCGACGTCCTCATCAACAACGCCGGCTACTCCCTGCTCGGCAGCATCGAGGACATGACGCTCGCCGAGGTGCACGCGCAGTTCGACACGAACGTGTTCGGGGCGATCCGCGTGCTGCAGGCGGTGCTGCCGGGCATGCGGGCGCGGCGCTCCGGCACCGTCGTCAATATCTCCAGTAGTGCCGGGCTGGATGGGTTGCCGGCTTGTGCGGTGTATGCGGGGAGTAAATTTGCGATGGAAGGTGGGTATCGTATCCGGCGGGATTGGGGTGAAGTGGGGCTGGATGATGGGCATGGGCTAATGTGTTTTGCTGCGCAGGAATGTCCGAGAGCCTGGCCAAGGAACTCGCCCCCTTGGGGGTCCGCGTGCTGCTGGTCGAGCCCGGTACGCTGCGGACCGGGTTCTGGGCGGCGTTTGTGGAGCCGGCCGCGGGCTTGAATCCGGAGTATCAGGGGACGCCGGTGGAGGCGGTTCTCACCAGGTTCCGGGGGAATCGGACCGGGGAGGCTACGGGGGGCTCCGATCCGGGCAAGGCGGCGCAGCGGATCGTCGAGGTCGTGGATGGGACGGGGTTGGGCCGGGGGAAGGATGGACTGTTGCGCGTGCCGTTGGGCGAGGATTGTTATCGACGGTTTCAGGCGAAGGTGGAGGCCTTGCAGCAGAATCTGGAGCAGATGCGGGAGATTGCGCATTCGATTGGGTTTGAGGAGTAGATTGTGGGCGGGTGGGTGGGTGGATATGTGCGATTGAAGTTGTTGGGAGTGACCAGAGTATATACATGGTGAATCCTGAGCGGTATACCTATTCCAATCCGAAGGCATAGACATCTGTCCAAGTTAATCCTCAGCTTCCTCCTCCTCCATCTCCTCAAAATACTCCCGCCAGAGATCCAACCGATCTCGCCCCTCGTCCTCCCCCGCCCCCCATTCATCCCATTCATCCCACTCCCCCAGACTCATCAGATGTCGCATCGTAGGCCGCCCATGCGGACAGTTCCACGGCTTGTCGATCGTGCCCATGTTGCGCACCACCCGCTGCATCTGCCGCGTCGTCAGGTTCTTCCCGATCATGATGCTCGACCGACACGCCCGCATGGCGAACATCTTCCGCACCTTGGTCGGGCGGGGCACTTCCTCGCTCCCGCTCGTCGCGGGCATCTCCGACAGCAGCACGATCAGCTCCTCCAGGTCGCGCTCCCCGAAGACCACCTCCTTGCTCAGCGGCAGCGACACCAGCCGGCAGCGGCGGCCGATCGGCTCGTCCCCGCTGTCGTCCACCTCCACCACGAACCCGTTCTTCTCCAGCGCCGCCTGGTTCTCGATCACCACCTCCTCCTCGACCGCCGTCAGGTCCAGTTGCTTGGGCCGCACCAGCCGCTGGTTCTGCACCACTGTCTCCGCCTGCAGCCGCTCGAAGTTGTACTTCTCGTCCGAGGCGTGCTGGTCGATGATGAACAGTTCATCCTTGTAGGCGCCGGCGCCGGGTCGCGTCGCCAGAATGAACCCCAGGTTGAACTGGCCGATGATCCGCATCCGCGCGAAATCGTCCTTGCTGACCGTCAGCGACAGTCGCTCTTCCGCGGTCGCCTGGGTTCCCGCCACCTCGGCTGGGTTCTGAGTAGTGTCGGCTTCCGCGCGACGAAGGCAGGTCTGGAGTTGGCTGAATCGGGACTGGATCTTGGGTAGGGAGCCGTCGACAGTGGTCACAAGCTGGACCGTGGAGTCGCGGTGCGCGGCGCCCTTGTTCATTTTGATGGCCCGCTTCTCGCTGTTGTGCGGGAGGGCGGCCTTGTCCTCCGCCTGTTGGATCAGCCGCTGCACTTCGGCCTCTTCATGTTGCTTCTTCTCTTCCTCGGTCATATGTTCTTGCGCGGGTTGTGTGATAGTTTCGTTCTCATCGGTTGCCTCATCGGCAGCGGCGTCAGGGTGTTCACTTTCATGACCGGAGTGCGCAGAAGCTTCAGAGCCGGTCTCTTCCATCTGCTCTGCATCATCTTCCTCCATCTCGTCTACTTCGGCATCCTCATCCACCTCGTCTTGTTCTTCGACTTCATCAGAGTACTCATCCTCAATCTCCTCATCCCCCTCACTCTCGTCCTGCGCCAGCTGAGACCCCGGAGCGGCGAAGTCGCGCATGTGCTTGCCAAAAATACTCGGCCGGGCCGGCGTGTGTATCCGCCTCTTCCTGGTAGAGCCGCTTGGCCCGGTGGAGTCACTGAATCTCTTCTTCGGGACACCACTTCCTATCACGGAGGTGACGGTCCGGTCACCAATGGTGATCGTGGCGATCTCGGCCGGCATGCGTCTGGGCCGCATGCGATCGAAGGCGTTCTGCACGATACTCGGCGTTTCTTCCGGGATCTCTGAGTCCTGTGTTGAGGGAATCGGAGGACTTGACGGAGCGATCGCTTGAGAGTCTTGTGTAGAGCCACCAGCCGTCTCGCGAGACATTGGTGGCGTGCTGCTCTGCCGCACAAAGAGCTCGTTGTCTTCTTCTGCCTCTTCCGACACGTCAGGCTGAGACTGTGGTTCCGCAGACACAGCTTCTTGTGTTTCGTTCGAGGCATCGTCAGCGGGCTCTTCACGAGTCCCTCCAGCCCCAAGTCCACTCAAGAAGCTCTTCATCCGATCCTGAGCGTTGGTTTGTACTACACCCTTCGTCTTGATCTGTGGCTTGTCCCCGTCCTCCTCCTCCTCCACCTCCTCCTCCTCGCCCATCCCAGCATCATCCGCAACCGCCCGACCAGAACCCAGACCCTGCAACCGCGACTGCCTCCCCGCGGCCACCACCTGCGCCTGCGGCACCGTCTGCTCGGCCCTCTCAAACAACTCCACCAGCGCCCTCTTCAACTCCTCAATCAACAGACCCGCATCATGCAGCAAGATCGTCCGCTTATCCGGCGACACATTCACATCATACGCCGCCGTATCCATCTCCAAGTCGGCGAACACAAACGGCGACTGCGCGACATTAAACGAGCGATAGACCTCATTAAACGCCTTGGCGATCTGCGGCAGCGCACAGGGCCGCGCATTGACAAAGAACATCTGGCGATCGGGCGTCTGGCGCCCCTCCCCGACGACGGGCCGGGAGACATGGCCGCGCACCGCGATGCCGCCCGCGAACTCCAGCCGCAGCTCCAGCGGAATCAGCGCCGCCAGCGTCTTCGCCCCGTACACGTTCGCCAGGTTGGCCTTGGTCGTGGCGTTCCCATTCGTGCTAAACACCACCACATTCCGCTGCGCGGCACCGCTTTTCCCGGTGGTCGTGGTGTTGTTGCGCACGCTGAACCGCACCCCGGTGCTGATGCACGCGTACGCATGCAGCAGGCTCACGACCTTCCCGTACTCGCGCTTGAGGTTCTTCTCCAGCTCGCGCCGCCGCACCGGCAGGCCCCGGAAGATCTGTGCCACCGCCGCGGTCGTGCCCTTCGGTCCCGCCACGAGCTGCGTTTTCTGGAGCCGGCCGGACGGCGCGAAGTCCAGCCGCGTCGCCTTGGGCGCCTGGTGCGCCTGGGCCGTCACGACGTGGAAGCTGGACAGCGCGCACAGCGACGAGAGCGCCTCGCCGCGGAAGCCGAAGGTGTGCAGCGTGTTCAGGTCGGTGAAGGTCGATAGCTTGGACGTGTGGTGTTTGAGCGCTGCGTCAGCGTCAGCGTCCACTTTAGCAATTCCATCCATCCAACTTTGGTGAATCTCCCCAGTTCCAAAACGTAGCATGATGCAAGTCAACAGGGTTAGGGGTTGGGGTTCAGGGGGTCCCCACCCAAACTCTCATAGTTCTCCGGCGCGATCCCGCTGCCGTTATCTTGGACCTCGATGAGATCGAGCCCGTGGTTTTTGAAGCGCACCTCTACACCCGGAAAAAACATTTGGTCAGTATAGTACCTTGCTGCAGCGTCTAACGTGTCTAAAGTCAACGGATAGTAGGGGTAGGGGCCGCACCGATGGAGGTGGCGCCGGCATCGAGGCTGTTTTCGACCAGCTCCTTCGCGACGGAGCAGAGGTCGGTGATGACTTGGCCGGATTGGATTTGGTGGACCTATTTTTTTTTTTGGGTGGTGGTTAGAGATTTGCTGTTGTTGGAAGGGGGAGGGAAACGCACTGAGCGGGCCTCGATGGCCTTGATGGTCGCCATGTTCATGCCATGACTGTACTGTTTTGGAGGCTTCTGGGGAAACTGGACGGAGCAGTACTCCACGCGGTGGTTGCGCGTCCGGCGGTCACGGTCACGGTCACCCACTTTACGCGACCCCGATAACTAATCAGGCCGCCCCCGCTATCTACACAGTACACTGCAGTATGTTGTGTGTATGAGCTACGCGCGCCTACGTACAAGGCAAATGTACTGAGCATAATACGACCCACTGTTGAAATCATGCATACTCGTGCCACAAATATATACAACAAACACAGAACAACGAACGGCAAAATCGCTAAGCAACGCTCAACGCCAAAGAATACGCGGCTATACTACATACACTCTCCTTAATAGGTATCGAAGCGGTCGGGCAGAACCACCGGGGCAATCAAAGTCCACAGGTAGATCGCGTAACACACCCAGGCGCTGATGATCTTCACCCAGCTGGCCCAGTAAGTCCGGCCCACGGGCGCAAAGTCGTCGGCCGCCTCGGGGTCCAGGTTCTGCGTGAGCAGCGTGGCCACCCAGGTGGTCGCCAGGAAGAAGATGATGTGGAACAGGGAGTAGTTGTACTGCGTCGAGCCCTTCTCGTCGTCCTTGGTGTCGTACTCGTCGGACTCGTCGTCGCTCTCGTCGAGGGCGCTGGCGGGCAGGCTGCCGCTGGCCACTGCCGCACGGAGCACCTCGGCCCGCATCTCCCGCCGGCTGCTGGGCTGCTGGGTCACGAGGCCGTGCTCGTTGTCATCCGACTGCAGCTGCGAGTAGCTATTCCCGCCCTTGGACCCCAGCGCGATCCCCTGAGTGGCCGCCCGCGTCGTGGTGTATGCGATCGTGGCCATCGTGACGATCGCGCCCAGCACAATGCTCGCGGTGCGGGTGCCCCGCGCCCGAATCAACGGGTTGCAGTGCCGGTCGTCCGGTTCCATGGACACAGCTGACATGGTCAGGTACGTGCAGTAGACCGTCACCATCGCGGCCTGGGCCAGTCCCGCGCGGGGGTTGGACTCCTGCACGATGGGCTGCACCGAGATGATCGAGATGATCAGGAAGATGACGAGGTTGATCTGGAGTGCGAAGTCAGCAAGAGGAACAAGACCATAAGGTGTGCACAGTGCAAGTCGCTTACCGTAATCGCAGCCTGGTTCATGGAGCATCCGCTGTGGGCGAAGAAGACATACATCAGGATCGTCATGACGAGCGATGCCAGGTACATGCCCACGGTCGAGCCAATGAGCAGACCGCGCCAAGTCCGGGAGTCCTGGTCCTCGATCTTCTGCAGGCAGATTTCGGCCCAAGAGTGGGCCAGGTCCACGAGGAGGATCAGCCCGAGGAGCAGGAAAAGCATGGCGCAGAAGAAGGCGATGTAGTGGCCATAGACGAAGAAGAACGATTCCGGGATGAAGAAGGACGTGACCACGAGGGCGAGCCACAGGATGATCTTCGGACCCCAGAACCCATTCTGCAGGACGGCACGGCCATCCTTGGAGGACCTCACCCCGAGCAGGGCGAGGGCGAGGATCAAATGAAACAGGCCAAGACCGAAGTTGATGCGATGCACCGCGACCCATCCGTGACATTCCTTGCCATCACACCGGATTTCCATATAGTCCAAAGTCATGTGCTGGAGTTTCTTGAGCGCCCAGGGCGTGAGCATGATCCAGGATACGATTGAGTTGAACAGGAGGATGAAAGCGTAGGCAATTCTCGTCGCCATGCTGCGCGGTGTCAGTCTTCGATCCGCGTTCTCCGATAAGCATCAGCCATAGGTCTCACCTATTCTGGAACTTGCCACATGCGCTACATACTGCAGAACAGGTCGCAGCGCCGCAGCAGGAAGTCGCAAGGGTGATGAGCTGAGTCGCAATTAGTCGGGAGACGGGCGTTGAGGATGGGATTACGTACCGTGCTGGCGCTCGGGATTGCCAGCAAAGGCAGAGACAGAAGGGCACCCATGATGGACCTTCAATGCCTCTATGTCTTCTCGAGGAGTGATTTGATATCAATAGCGTTGAACAGTCGCAGTACTGCAAGTGGTGAACAAGAAGTGTAAGTCGTTTGTGGCAGGGACTGCAGACCAAGCCAGGCAGGCAGCAAGTAACCAACTAATGTTAGCGGTTTGGTTGTTGTCGCCGCCGCCTTCGTCATGTGAGACTCACCGCCGGCATCGGGGAAATTGCCCGCGAACGGTCAGGCCCCCATTTTGGGCCTTATCGGCGATAAGCGACTGGCCCTGACAAGAAGTCCGAACTGCCAGTCTGAGTGAGCGCCAGTGCCAGTGCAGCGTAAGTGCGGAGTCGAGGCCGAGGGCGGCGCGATCTTCCAATCCACCCGATTACGAGTCCCCCTCCCAGAAGCCAGAAGACACTTAGAGCGAAGGAAAATCCTCCCCTCCCTCTGCTGTCGCTCATTACTTGTTCGTTCTTTTTTTTTCCCGTATCTTATCTTTTCTCTACTCGCTTGCACTCGTTGTCCAGCTTTCTTTCTTTCCTTTTTCTCCAATTGATTACACTGTTTACATTCGTTTACTTCGATTGGCGCTGTCATATACTCCCAGAGTCCCGTCCTGGGTGACCTATCTGACTCCCACTAAGCTACCACTCGTCCCGTCCGTCTCCTTGCGTTCGGCCTTCTGTTCGGTTATCGTGACGTGATAACGTTTCTCTCCTGCACCATCCGTGGAACACTCCGAGTCGAGGCTACAAATAGACACTCGCTTTCGTGCGACCTCCTTCCCCACCTTTTCTTTGCATGTGAAGCCCGCTACCTGGCTTACCTGGCGCAAACGGCACCCAAAGACTGCAAAATGGCGCCCTCATCGCATCAAACGAAGCGATTCATCTCCGTGATAGCAGCAACCGTCGTTGCGCTCGCCTGTGGGACGAATGTAGGTGTCCATCCACCATCTGATACATTGTGCGCGCGAGTGCTAATCAGACCCAGTATGCATACTCCGCATGGGCGCCTCAGTTCGCGGAACAGATGAAAATCTCCGCAACGAAAAGCAACTTCATTGTAAGCAAGCTGCCTGCTGCTCTTCCAACTAGGTCCATCGTGAGATTCACAAATTCCAGGGTGCTGCGGGAAATCTGGGCATGTATGCGTCAGGCATCCCGTTGGGACTGTTGACTGATGCTCGGGGCCCTCGTTTAACGACCTTCTTGGGAGCCATCACCCTCGGCTTAGGCTATTATCCCATCTATCTGGGTAGGCGCTGGTGTGACCTGTGGTGCAGAAGATCTCCTGCTAATTCCAGTCGATGAGCGCAGCACATGAGGGCGGGCCAGGCTCTCTCAGCACCCTTTTCTTGGCTTTCTTCAGTTTCTTGACCGGCTTCGGCAGTGCCTCCGCATTCTCAGCATCTATCAAGACTTGTGAGTTCATGTTGGCTGTACATTTTTGACCATGGGCTAAAACCCCACGATTGCAGCGGCGTCGAATTTCCCCGAGCACCGTGGAACGGCGACTGCGTTTCCGTTGGCGGCCTTCGGCTTAAGCGCCTTCTTCTGGTCGACGATATCGAGCGTTCTCTTCAAGGATGACACTGGTCGCTTTCTCCTCTTGTTGGCGCTGGGGACTTGTATTCTGAACCTGATCTCGATCCCGTTTCTTCGAATCCTCCCACCCGTAGACGCGTACATATCTCTCGGCCGAGACCGATCGCCCGGAGTGGAATCACGTCGGCTGCGCAAAGCGAGGTCCAACGAGCTGCGATCCGGCCATGACGATTCTGATGAAGCAGGTACGCAAAGATATACTATCTCTGACTCCCAACCCCCGGTCCATACCAGGTCGCAATCGAACGCGTCGAACCCTACTGCCCTCAGCCACAACCCCGATGTTAACGAGACCTCTTCCCTGGTACCCAAAGTCCCATTCAGAACGTCCCACGAATCCCTGCCTGAGCATGAAGGGGAGGAGCTTGAAGAGGATGCCATGTCTGATGTTGCCCCCGACTCACCTCATCCAGACGTCAGAGGCTTGGCAATGCTATCGAGGGTCGAGTTCTGGCAGCTCTTCCTGACTATGGCGCTGCTGTCGGGCATTGGCCTGATGACGATCAAGTTAGTACAATGATGCCCCCGTTGACTGTGCATGAAGGCTAACTGTACACCAGTAACATCGGAAACAGCGTAAGACCTTCCTTTCGTCCGGTCCGGTCCGGTGGGATGCTAACCTGCGCAGGCCAAGGCACTTTGGAAATACTATGATGACAGCGCAAGCTCGAAGTTCATCCAGCAACGACAGGTCATGCATGTCTCGATCTTGTCTTTTGGCAACTTCACCGGTCGTCTCTTGAGTGGTAAGTGCTGACAGCCCACGCCCCGCCTTGGCTCATCCGCTCAACGCCTCTGTGTAACCTGCAGGGATCGGCTCCGATCTTCTGGTCAAGAAGTTGAACATGTCCCGCTTCTGGTGCCTGTTCATGTCCGCTTTAGTTTTCACCATCACCCAGCTCGCCGGGTCGTCGATCTCGAACCCCCACCAACTGGCCATCGTGTCGGGCTTCACGGGCATCGCGTACGGGTTCCTCTTCGGCGTGTTCCCCTCCCTGGTGGCGCACAACTTCGGCATCAACGGCCTCTCGCAGAACTGGGGCGTCATGACCATTGCCCCCGTGTTCAGCGGCAACGTGTTCAACCTGCTCTACGGGCACACCTACGACCATCACTCCGTGGTGGGCCCGGACGGCGACCGGGAATGCCCGGATGGGCTGGCCTGCTACCAGGCAGCTTACTACACTACGTTCTTCTCCGGCCTGGCCGGACTGGTGGTGTGTCTGTGGACGATCCTGCGCGAGAAGCGCATCCACGGCGCGATGCGGAAGAAGCTCGAGCATGACCGACTGGCTTAGTGATGCGTTTCGGTGATACAAGTACCACCCACCGTGCCAGCTAGCCTTTAGACAAGGCTACGCGCACAACTGACAAGGTTCAACCTGCATGAGCGGTCATTTCTTCACTTTGCGCGTATATAATACCTGGGGTCATTTCTATACGAGAAGTCACGAGAAGTCCATAGTATAGTATGATTAGTGACAAGGTTCGTGGAATCTTTATGATGTGGTGTTGACTATAGATTTGTTCAATCTAGACTAGATTTCTCTTTCGAATGATTTGTTATAGACAGCTAAGCATATCCAATGATTTACAAGTAGCTGTTTCCGGCACGATGAATATCCAAGTAGGCATCGATTAGTCCACCCTCCGCATATAGGCGGATGATACGCATAGTGATAGCGGTTTGCATCCACCTAGCCTCTCTACCTGATATCTCCTGGATCCAGCTGCTCTTGCTTCCACCTTTGTAACCCAACATAGCAAATACCACTATCTCGAAAACCAGCACATTTACCTCCACCAGTAAATATCTGATTCCCTACCCAGCCCCCCCAAACAACCAACGAAACCGAAAAACAACTCCTCAATCTCCTCCACATCAACCGAAAGAAAAACCCATTCACCACTAACCAAAAGCCACAACCAAACATACCCCAACCCACCTCAACAAACTCACTACCTGACCATCCATAACCCCCTTTACGCCCCAGTTCCTTCCACTCCTTCCCCCCCTTGGAACAAAATCAATTGCCCACCCCCAAAACCCTCACCCGCACATTATTCGCCCCCAGCGCCGTCTGCCCGATAAAATTATCGCGGGTCATCTCCACGTTCGCGGCGGTGGTGTCGTGGAGCGCGAGCTCGTAGAGCCGGAACAGCGTGGCCAGGACGAGGTGCATCCAGGCGGAGTTCATGCTACACATCACACCACACAGACACAGACCCATTAGTGTATCATCCAGACGAAACGTGCGCCGCAAGCTGGGGGGGTTGTCGGCTGTCTAGGACCGGGATTTTGCTGGAAGGGGGGGGTACTGGGTACCGAAGCACCGCGAGAACCAAGAAAAGAAAGGTTGGGTGGGGGGGGGGGGGCGAGCGTACTTCTGCCCTAAACACCCCAACGTGCCCTTGGACGCGGGCACCAGGTACCGCTGGAGCCGCAGCGACTCGTCCGGCGCGAGCAGCCACCGGTCCGGGCGGAAGGAGGTTGGGTCCGGGAAGATGGTCGGGTCGCGGAGGATGAAGTAGGTGGACATGCTTACTGGTGTCTTTTGTGTCTATCAGCATTGTATTGGGGAGGGAGGGGTGGGTGTTTTGAAGGGGATGGGGAAGGGGATTAGAAGGGGAATGTACACCAGCCGGGATCTCCCAGTGCTGATAGCGCAGCGTCTCGTGCGGGGCGATGCGCGGCAGGCGCGTCGTGACGATGGAGGAGAGGCGGAGGCCTTCTTTTATTGTTGCACTCTGTAGTTACTTTTGTGTTAGTTTTGGTGTTGTGGGAGGGTGGATGGGAATCTGGGGGAAGGAAGGGGAGGGAGCGGTTTACAAGGAAGGGCAGTTGTTCCAGGCTCTCCAGTGCGGGTATGCAGCGCGTGTCTGGGATGTTGGCGAGGAGCTCGGCTTTGAGTCGTTGGTGAACTTCTGCGTTGTGCAGGATGTGGAACATGGTGATGGCCAGGGCTTGGGAGGGGGCGTCCGTGCCGGCCATCATGAGGAAGATGGCGTCGTCTTCGAGACGGGGCGAGTCCTTTTCGCTGGGGGGTACGGAGGGGTCGGCGAGGATGCTGGGGTAGATTGGTGGGGTTGGGTTGTTGGGGGCGGTGGTGTCGGTTTTTGAGGCAGAGACGGTGGATGTTTGGGTCTTGTGTTGGTGGATTGCGTGGCGCACGAAGCTTCTCACGTCCTGGCGGTTGGAGATCTTGGTTAATCACTGGGGTTCGTGCTCCGCCCCGAGAAGACTCACCTGCTCCATGCCCAGGATATACGCGAACGGTGGACAAAACCGCTGGGCCATGGCGGGCCAGCGCCGCGCCAACACGACCAGGAACGGCAGATGGCGGTTCACGCGACAGAACTCGAACATCCAGTTGATGCGCAGCTTCCAGGTGGGGGACAGCTCCGGCTGCTCGAGGTAGTGGAAGCCCTGCTGGCGGCCGAAGCAGTACTGCGAGAGCGTGTCCGAGGTGAAGCACTGGAACGCCGTGTGCAGCTCCAGACACCCCTGCGTGTCGACCAGCGAGGTGAAGTGCTTCTC